GCTTGGGGAGACTTCATGAAGATGAAAGAGCTCGCCGGGCCACACAGAGCTAGCGGCTAGCGCATCACTTGCTTGTACTCGTGCAGGAATGAGATGCTGTAAGGGTGAGTCCACCGGTTCCACCTGTTCAGCTTGGCCTGTCACAGCTTCACAAATTTTTGAGCCCCATTGGCATGAAGGAAAGCACATGAAGACTGAGGGTTGGCATTCATTGTTGAGGACAACCGTTGATGCCCACAAAACGTTTACTATCTTTCCCATTCTTTCTCCACTCTGCACATAAACGCGACAAGCATTCACAAACTATAGCCTGGACTCTGGAACATGTACTGGATTTGTTTCCCTCCACAACCGCCACAAACCCTTGTAATTGTGCTTGTTCGACATGGACCAGTCCAGGTCTGGGGCGCGTGACGCGTCCGAACAAACACCGAGTCTCTCGCAGGTTCACTGGTTCACGTCGCAGGTCTCAGAGAGTCTCAGGTCCGTCTCAGAGAGCCTCTCAGGTTCACAAGCTGACGGATACCTTTGACAAGGACGACAACAAAGCCATTGACTTGGAAGAACTCCAGGCCACCGAAGTTCCCGGGAATGGTGCGCCCAATTGGGGCGCCGTGCCGATTTCGGGAGATTCATTGGCGGCTTTGGGGGGGCTGACACTGAAAATAGGCTTAATATGGTCCAAACAAAAAACAACATAGAAGTACAATTAGGCCATGTAAGGCTCCCAAATTTGGCGTCTTGATTCATGCAATTTGGCGTCCAACACCTCCAGTTCTCGGATGATGTTGACGGCAACGACCCACGGTGGGTCGTGATCTCCGGTCCGGGTTCACCCGAAGCCCAGTGCGGTCCAGTCCGATGTCCGCTCGAGGACATTTTGGAGTCCACCCACAAGGGCCCGGTGAAGAAGGAGGTCACCGACTGGGTCATGCGCGAGGCGGACGTGAGCCGCAACGGCACCTTGAGTGTCTTGGCGAAGGTGAAAGATGGGAGATGGGAGGTAGATGGAGGTAGCCTGAGCTGAAGTGCTATGGTAAGTGCCAAAAGAAGGGTAAGAGTTACAACGTGTGAAAACCTTTTGTGGAATAGCCTCACTCAAGCACAAACAACCTACAATTTGACCAAAGACTTCCGAGGTGGTTAGCATGCATACGGGGGGCACCCCCAGTCCCGCCGTTTCAGGTGTTAGACCTGCAGTCAAGATACCAACGGCAACTTTCCCCTTCCCATGCGAGGTAATGAATCTCCCTGCAACTGTTGTTTCAAACTACTAAGATCTATGTAGGAAATGTCGTGACTGTCGTGACTGACTGTTTGTCGTGACTATGCGGCTGACTGTATTTCCATGCCTTTTTGAAGAGATGCAAACTTTTCTCGAATCTCCGTGTCTCTGCAGATCTCCACCTTTGAATCACACGAACCACCAGCAAAGTGCGCTTGTTCTACATTTTCAGTTTGTTTTTCTGACAGCCGGCACCTTTCGGTATTTGGACATCTTTGCTTTCTGAAGCTCTTTTTCTTGAACGTTGCGATCGTTTTTCGGTCATGCGCTTCGCAACCTCCACTAGGAATTGCACCCCAGGAACTGTGATACGAACTTGGCCACACAAATAAATGCGCTTGGGTGTTAAAAGGCGCATACAGACCCTTCACCCTTCGACAGATCCCTTTGTTGCTCAGACCATTTGGAGCTCGCGCGGGCGTTGTTGGCTTTTGAACTCCTTTGCAAGGCGGGACAGCCTGTGGTGGCTGGGTGCAACGTAATGAGTGATAGACCGAAGAAAGAACGCCTGCACTGCATGAGATAGAGTGATAGAAACATATTATTATGCGTATTGTAGGACGTATTAATACGTAATATATATATATACTATATAATATAAATATACAATATTTAACTAACGCAGAAACCTACAACCACCCCAATGGTGTGCAATGTGCTTGTCTCCGAAAGTACTTTTCAAAGGGACTGGGATTCACAGGGTCAATCTGCTGATCGGAGCTGACCCTTTGAGCGCACCAGGCTGACCCCAGTGGTTCGCCGGTGAGGCGAAAACACCGAAGATCCCGAGACAATGTAAGACCAATGCATGGAATTGCATGGAGACATTCCTGAAATCATTATAACCTGATTTGTTGCTTTGCACCTCATCAGTGACTGCTGAGGTTCCAGTCACCGGCATCTCGTAAATAAATGAATAATTCTTAATATTATATATATAATATGTCATTCATCAATCTCGGAATCATTCAATTATGCCGCATAATGCCCAACTCTCTTCAAAGCTTCTTCAGAGAAACAGAGCTACACAGGCAGACGAGCCGTATCGAGCCGTTTGTGAACCACAACCGGCCGTGAACGAGCCGTGGAGCCTCCGTCAGCCAGGGGGAACCCCACATGCGCAAGGACTTGTCCGAAGGCGCCCGGTGGGTGCTTTTTACGCGTCGTGCGCCAGTCATGGGGTGGAGGAGTGGAGTGTCAGGGTCTTCGCAACACTTCCACAGGCCAGAACTATGAACCACAACGCAAAGATGTTGTCCTAGTGTGCCATAGAACATGGTACTGTATAGGAAAGGAGTTCAACTTGAACAGATGGAGTCAGATGGAGGGATATTCTTGTGATGGATTCCTGGATGGCACACCAGGTTCGATCTTGGGAGGGGAAGGAGTGACAAAGATAAAGACTTGGATTCAAGCCAAGAAGTTGGTCCGAGAGATGTCTTATGAAGATTCCCTTCCGCCCTCTTTGTCAATCACCATTGCCTAAATCATGCATTTCTTCATTATGTTTCAAGCGTGCGTGTGCCACAGTGGGGGCAGGGATGGAGTAAGGTTTTGCTTCTGGTCCATCATCCATATCTCATCAATATAATCAAGCGTCCCATCGAATTCATGGAGGAAGTTGAGATGTCGGTCACAAACCCAAAATCATGGCCAAGACTATCTTGTATATAGGTATACAGGTATACATACATGCATGCATACATAGATCAATGCACTCGGCTCACCAACATGGAAGTGGATGGCATGGCCCTGCAAAGATGACTCTCCTTTACCAACAGATGTTTTAACACATTGAGTCGGAGGGTATGTATCTTGCTATCATTTTGCGCTGTTTTGTAAATTCATCTAGAATCTAGATTCTTGGCACATCAACCTCATCAGGTCCTGCACGGACCAGGGTGCTGTACGGTGCTTGGGGGTATATTACCGACGTCACCGGGCAGCCCGGGCCGCAGGGATTCACGTGGACGATAGCCTGGAAAGACCGGCCAGAAGCAGGGCGTGTTTGATCTTGTGATTCCCACGGGTTTCACCCAGCGGGTGCGCGTGGCTCCGCGCCAGATCCCAGGTGTGTTTGGTCTTTCGATCGATGGCTGTTGTATTGTATGATTAGTGTTGACATGTTGTTCCAAAATCAAACGGTGAACCATATTATATACATCAATGCAATCAACGCAGGCCCATTTTCTTGGCATGCCAAGGGCATGGAACAAGGACTGGTAGACGCGGGCCCGCCTTGCGTCGTCATTGCAAATTGAGACCAGCATTGGATCCGAGACAACCGAGGTCAGGAGTGGCTCTTCAATTGACAGAGTACGCATGCGGCCTCTCTAGTCGGCTAGAACCAACGTCGAAGAACATTGAAGGACGATTTGGCCCTTAGATACATAGCGCGAGGAAACAGGTTCATCATCCACTCCGGCATACCATGCTAGTTCAGGGCCAGCATGTTGCAATCACTTTGGCGAGCAAGTTCCGTGGTCTCAATCTTTCTACATCACTTGATCGTGATCGGTCTTCTCACCCCGCTTGTACCATTTGCACCTATTGGCACCGGTTTGACTTCATGAGAAGCGGCCCCATGTGCGGACCATTTGTCGAGTTGCTATGACGGCTGTCATGGGTGGACATGCATTTTGAGATGATGTCTGCAAAATTGGGGCACCTGGGGCACCGTTTTTTTGGAAGCCCGATGGTTGCTTTTCTTGGACTGCCTTTCACATCAAACCGCCTGCCTTGTTGGGCCCAAGACGAGCCCCTCCAGCGCTTGGGGAGTGAGACTGAGTGATCCACCCTGTGGGCAGTTTTCAGGCTTTCAGAGAAAATATGTAAGAGAGCCGCCAGAGAGCCTATATGGGAAGAAACTACTGTAGACTGAGTCCTGGCGACTAAAATCTCTAGTTGTAAATGTTGTAGATCTCCAGGATGAACGGTTTTCTCCAAGGACCTCCGCCTTAGATCCATGGTGGCTGGGGATGTTCTGGCGTATTTATTTTTCGGTTCCCTGCGGTTCCCTGGGCGACTCCAGCAAATCACTCCTGGGAGACGTTGCCTCCATAGCGGCATCATGCCACATGGCCCAGACAAGGGCCCTCCACAGACGCTCGACCCAGCAGGTGCACACCATCGGTCGACCCAGCTAGACCCAGGTGGCCCAGGCTTTTGTCGGGGAGGGTCACTTTAGACGGAGTGGTCTATCAAAGTCTACCAACATTTGGGACATTAAATTGCATGAATAAGCCTGTCAAAGCAACACGCTTCTCGGGAGATTCGAGCCCAAACTGCAGCTCAGTCCACTCTCCAACTTGCTGAGATTCAGCATCAACAGATGCTTCACAAATCAGGTAGGTTGCTTTTAATGGACGAGTTTGGCGACGGATCAGCTTGGTAGTCCAGGAGGGCAACTAATCCATGCCTTGGTAATATCTAGAGATACAATCCTGACAAGCCATCTGGCACCCAAAGCCCCAAGCATGTGAAGAGACTGCCATGGCACATGCCAAATGCAAGTTTTTGTTCTCAAGCGAGAGAGCTGAAAGGGACAGAAAGAGCCCCAAAGACACCGAAACACCTTGCTGCCAGCGTGGAAAAGTGCACCATTTTCGCTTTCTGACGCTTCGTCGAAGCACAAGGGTTTGGAATTGGGATCGTATTGCCTTGAGGCTTCAGCCCTCTTCTTCTGCAAAAGAAGTTGCTGTGAGCTTTGCATATACACGGACATTACATGGTTGAATTCGCTCGGCTTGCTCCAAGAGCTTTGGGCCCAGTAGCTTGCAGGATGGCGAAAGTGGGGAGAGGCCGTGGGGCACTGCCGGGCACAGCTTCCAGGTACAGCTTCCAGGTGAGATTTGATCAACGAATCAACCGAATCTACTTGTGCTGCCCGGGCAGCTGTGCAATCAACTTGTGCGGCCTCGGCCGACCACCGTCCGAACCGCTCAATTGGTCAAAGTGCCGTGTAATCGCCCGAGGTCCTGTACATTGACGGCAGCGTTTGTTTGGGTGAAGAATGGTGAGGATTTCATGTGGGGCTACGTTGAGATCATGTTGTACACAGTACACATGACTGCCAGAAAGAATACAGCATAGAAAAACGATAAAAACGCATGGTGAAATATGGTGAACCCACAGAGCCTCACAGCCCCATCTCTGTCGGACTGGAATGCAAGGTTATCAGCAGCAGTTTTGCGAAACCCATTAATGATAATGAAAAACACGACTGCACAAGGAGGTGTGGCAGCTCAATGAAGGCAGGCCACGTTTTGCATAGGGATTGTTTCAGTTTGTTGCACAACTGCTCCTTCAGCAAAATTAAAATTATATAATGAAGTAGCAGCTCACCTCCGACCAAGTGAGCGCAAGTTTTCACCAGTGGAATCCACTGGTGCCTCCAACTGCAGTGCAGGCTACGGAAAGTCATGGGCATCAAACAACTGGGCAAATTTCTCAAAAGTGCCTTGACCAAAAGCACATTTCAGGCCGTTGCTTGATCTTGTGGGAGCACAGTCCAAACCAAACTACAACTTAGAAGCTGGAGCTTGCAAGGCTCCAATCTCGGAAAGTGTATGAGGCAAAGGCCGTTTCAGATTGAAGGATTCCAGATGCCACTTTCGAAATTCATGCCGTCATAAGCCTTCGCACATTCTCTAAACCATTTTGACGCACACAAGTCATCTAAGGGTGACTGACTGGGGACAACTAAAAGCCATATGAACCTTCTCCTCATAGTCGGGCCCCAACTAAGCTGTTCGGCGGGCCCACCAAAAATTCCGGGCTGTTGGAGCCATCTCAGGCAGCTGCCCCAGCGCCATGAACTCTCACTCGCCGGCAGCAGAGTACAAGGACGCGTTGGCCCTGCGCCGCAGTGTTCCTGTTTGCCAACAAAAGCACCCCAAAGCTTTTCAATGTTCCTCGTGAATGAACAATAACAAGAACAAGCAAAAACGAATTCAGATACCTTCATATCCCACAGGGCTGTGAGGTAGGGTAGCCAGACGGCCAGACTCTTTCGGACTTTGCCCAGAGAGACAGACAGAGAGAGAGAGAGGGCCTATTCTCACACAAGCATTGGGGGCCTCAGACTTTAAGCGTAAGACTTGGTTTGCCTTGGCGGGCTCCCATTGCCACTCAACACCCAATCACTCGTCAGACCGCATGAGGATCAGACTGTGGCCATCGATGTCAGCTGTTGCTTGTACCAATGCATTACTGACACTTTGGCTGCAGTTGGTTGTGTCATTGATTCCCCAATCTTCTTTTGTTGCCTTCTTTTTTAATACCTTTTTTGTCGGTCAATCGACGGTTGGGGGATGCCTGGTCTGCCTTGTGCCGTTTCCACCTTGTTGCTTCTGCTCTTGCACGATTTATGCCCATCTGTGTTCCACTCTCTTGAAAAGAGATGGAGCATTCACATCAAAATGAAGGCTTGAGCCGTTGGCAAACCACCTCATCCTTTGACTTTACACTCGCCTTACTCCTTGTGCACCTTGAATGCACCAACGACCAGAAGAATCGAAAAGACCTTCAGATACAAGGAGGGGACTGCCCCTTCTTAATAAGGGGCGGCCCCATAGGTCCTTGTGCCCTTGTTGCCCAGATGATGACTATTGCTAGATCTTCTGAGTCCTTCCTCATCGAGCTGTAGTGGCAGCAAATCCCACAAAACAGTGTCGAAACTCCGAGGCCATGGGGGACACTCCACGCGGCGTTCAGCCGGGGAGTGAGCTGGACACCAGCCATATTGCCGGGCTGCTCCGGCGAAGCATCAGGCAGGGAAGACCTGCGTGGCCAAGGGAGACGTTGGAGGAGATGGCCGATGGCCTGTTGCCAGTGATAGCTACAATTTCAGTTGCAGATAGTTGCAGCTTATAGGGTGATCGCCGATCGCGCTGAAGTCAGCGGTCTATTGTGCCGCAAAGGATCGCAAAGGTACGTAATATGCAGCAAGTCACGCGGCATGTATATATATATGTATATACAGTATATAAATAAATATGGATACTTCAAATCACTCATGGTTTGAATAGTAATAAATATGATGAAACACTGCCAGGCTCAGAAAAAGAGAGAGAGAGAGAGAGAGAGCGATGCACTTCGGCTGACCTGATGCCTATAGCAGTCACAGACCGACAGGCTGTTGGAGTTGGGCATCAAGCCAATCTTTATTTTTGATGGCTTCTTGGATCGCAAGATGTTGAAGACCAGAAACCAGACAACTTGGATCGCAAGTTGGAGCACCAGCGGGTGAAAGCCATTGTTGATCCTGCTTGATCGACCATTGCGGGTGGATTATATAGTCTAAAAATGTCTAAAATCATTTCATACTCTCCTTCGTGGCGGGGGACATGCTCAGGGCCAGCCCATAGTAATTTATAGATATTTTTCTATAATAATTAACTCATTAATATCAGCCTAGGAAGAATTCGAAAACACCTAGAACACCAGTTGAAAGGGAAACATAGCGCCAAACAGTCAAATTAAATGGGGGCCCAAAAGAACAATGCTTTTGCTGAGCTCAAAATCAGAAGCAGCATATTTCTCAAACAAGTGCAAATCTTGTAGAATTCTCGGGGGAAACAACGAAAACAATGGAAAACATAGGAACACAATAGGAACAACAAATAGATGAAAAATCCGAAACACAGTAGGAACAAATAGGAAATAAATACGCCCGTTTCCCTCTTTCTATTTTTGTTTGTCAGATTCTTTGATGACTTTTACTATTTTACTTTTTGTTTCTCTGAGTCTATGAGTTTCATTTGTTGCCTACTGTATGTTTATTGTATTTTTCGATCATTTTCCAAAGTTTATCATCATTTCGCAATTTACAATCCCAAGCTCATTTAGATCAACACGATGCTGATCGTTTGGCGTCTATGCCGAGTAGAATGACACAAGAACGATTCAATTTGAACTTACTGTATGATGTTTAATGGCATCTCATTCTGAGAGCACACCAAGACCAAAAATACCTGGCACAGTTTGCCCTTTGGATCACTGGGATTCAGTGGTTCCTACCCAGTGATTCTGCCGTCTCTTCCACGAGGCGAAGCCCCTATGATGAAGAGCCATGTGGAGATCTCAGGGGGCCGACGCGACGCGAAAGCTTTCTGGAGATTTTATGGTGATATGGTGGATTCTGATTCTGTGTAATCTACGAGCACATACATACATACATACATACATACATACATACATACATACCAAAAAAACATACATACATACACAAATAAGTGTATATATATATATGTATATTTATTTACATATTTGCACACAGAGTTGGAGGTCAAAAATGCACAATTAGAGCTACCAGCAATGTGAGAAGAGAGGAACCGTTTTATTCGTCATGTCATATCGCCTTTATAAGTTCTATGACGCTCTATGAAGACAGGTGCTTTCTCAATCTTTCTCCATGTGTGTTTGCATCTTTATGAGTAATTCAGGACTATGCATCCACTCTTTTCAGTTTTCTCTGTCTATCTTTGGGGGGGAGTCACCCGGCTTGGGCACCCAGCTAGCTTGCTCCTGCGGTTTCAACTGAGCGCTGAGATGCGCTGTTTCGTCGATGTTTTGTTGCAAACAGAGTCTTATTGTTCTTTTGCATTGCAAGACCTATTGACTTTAGGTTTCAATGCACATACAGTAGACATACAGTAGATTCCTTGGAGTGCAGGACAGCCAGTCGGGAGGATGCGCACCGAGCCGCTTCTTTCCTTTGGCTGCGGTGGGTCGAGGTGCTCCAGCAGCGGGAGAAGAATCGCGCCAAGTCCAGAGAGCTTCTGGAAGAGGTGTGGCTCCTGAGATGTTGAAAAAGGGCAGAAGGTGTTTATTGAGTCAGGTGTATGCCTAAGAGCCTAAGAGACCACTTGGGCCACGAATCGTCGTGTTGGGCTTCCTATGTCTTCCTGGTTTTCACTTTCTGGGCGCGTCCATGTTGGTGTTTGACTGGACGTGGAAGAAGACCTTTGGTGCTGCCCTCATCACTTCACACAAGCCTCTAGCTCATTGGATTAAATTATAGTCACGACTGGTCGTTGGCTCAAGCAACTCCAAACTGAAAAGCACGTGCACCGGGTTCCCCAAACAGTCTGGCTTGGCAAAGGTAAACAACCAATTCCAACTTCTTGTTTGGGCTTCCGGCCATGGATCCTGCCCCACAATATGCAACTAACCAAGACGTTGTTTTGACTTCACCCACTTGTTTGTCTCAAGGTAGGTTTGCTGCGACAAATGGATGACACGTTGAGCTTTCGTCGCAATATTTCTCATCAAACGCATGTTGATTGTATAATTCCTTTTGATTTTTGGCACAAGAAAACACGGGATGGCAGGATTCCACAATAGTCGACAAATCCCTAAACTCTAGGACTCTAGGCCTTAGGCAGGCAGTCGGCCAGAATCTACTATTCTGATATTCTTGCCTTGTCGCTCCACATAAGCCGTTCCCCTCCAGCTCACCTCACCATACTTCACCCTTGGTTTGATCCATTCTCTCTTTTTTTCTGTCTCTTGAACCTTTCCTAGGCCCAGGCGATGGGCGATCAAGAAGCCATGAAACGCTATGGCGCCAGGCCTAACTGTTAACTCATCAGATTGCTGGAGGATATTTGGTGGAGAAACACACTCTTCCTCGTCACTGGCAAGTCCTTATTAAATTCATTCCCCAGCGAGGAAGAATAGCCGAGGTTCAGTTGGATATGCTATCATAGTATGTAGCCTTTTGCAATGCCCCTGATCAGTTCCAAGTCATTAGGTGTATGGAATGTGTGAAAACAAACTGTGACTCCCAAAGAACCCATGCAGGCTTAGTTATGGCCATGGCCTTATTCCGATTGGTTGTCTCGAATGAAGGGACCCCTTGGGTGTCGAGAAGTTGAATGGACTCAGACAATCCCACAACACCTTGCACAAAACACACAGGACCATACAGGACTGTAGAGGAAAACTGAAGGAACTCCTGTTTGAAAATTGAACATTGAATGGACGTGTTAAATGAGTTTTTTGGAACAAAAAGCCCGCTCCGGTTGGGTCGAATTTGTGGAGGGATTTGACACCGACCTGTTCAGAGCCTGGAAGAAAAACACGGTTTCGACCCAGCATTGTTGGGTCTCCAAACGTCTTCTGAACTGAGTCAATTATGTTGAAGTAGGAAGCGTTTTGCTACGTGTCCTGACTTAATGTCAACTTGTTGATTAACAGTTTTGATATTTTGTGGATTCCGAAGAAACTGAAACCATATCGTATGTATATACATCGAAGCCTTGGCTGGAGCAGTGCCGACCTTGCAGCCATGCCGTCGAAGATCGTCGAAGCATTTGGATGAGGGGCAGGAGACGCCCAGACTCAGACCCGGACACGTTGTCCACGTTCAATCCGAATTCATTGATACCTTCATCGAAAGAAATTGACCCATGGTGTGTGGGCCCTGCTGGCCAAACGGTCGTTCCCGGCCCTCGTCCGAACGCTGGTGATTTGGTGAGAAGCACCCCAACCCAAAGGCTTGGCTCATGGACCCCGACCGAGGAGGCTACCCAGTCAAGTCACCCCTGTTCTTTTTGGTACGGATTAATTAACTAGGAGGCACGTGGAAGTGTTCAACCAGCTGGCATAGCTGAGCTGCAGACATCCAATCCAATCAAGTTCAGAGTATTTTTGGAGAATCCTGCGCTACCTGCTTTGGTACACGACGAGGCTCAGATATCAAGCCGACCATGCACTGGTTGCTCTTTTAGTGACCTACGAAATGGCTTTGGCTCTGGCAATTTTTTATTGGTTGGCTGTTTCTGGGCTCAACACAATAAGAGCTCAACACAATAAGACCCAAACGCTTGGGTGAACATTTGCCGACCTCGATGTTCTGGCTCGGGCGGCTAGATGGCCGAGTCAGAAAGCCAAATGCACAGTTTGGGCACCCAACTGGTTCCCTTTGGTTCCCTCATATCATGGTTGATGAGCAATTCACCGATACGCACTGACACCCGGTACGCAATGATGGCCGTTTTCCTGCCAGGATTTGGTGCATCGTTGGTTCCACGCTCTCCTTGCTGCTGTTGGGACTTGCCTTGCAGTGGGAGTTCCTGGGGCCCCTACTGCTCTCCAGCTTTTCGGAGCGGAGCGAACAACCCGCGCTGACAGAGGTGATCTCGCGGCTGGACGCCCTTGAACGGAACGTGCCCGAGCCGGGGTTTTCACCGCGCGTTCCGTTCCGCGGGGGTTGATCAGGGCATCTCCGGGCGGCGAATTCCCCCTTCATCGTCCACCACGTCCATGGTTCGGTCCGAAAATGCCAAGAATCACTGACCTGCAGGGGGGCCTCAGACAAAAGATCCTTCACCACTTAGCAATTGAATGTACAGTCCGGTTCTGATGTTCTGCTTAAAAACCAGTCCTGGGACATCGGTGAAGATGGGCGAACAGTGTTCAGATGGCTGAACTTGGAACAGTGCATCAATACCGTTTGGGTGAGTTGACGGTTCGTGTCACCTCGAGCTCATCCAGCAATGTTCACACACTCTGGGTCCTATTAAAGCTTGCACGTTTTAAACGAGGATTTTGCACGTCTTCCACGTTCCAATTGGTATGTTGGGTCTTGGAGTCTTGGGAGAGCTCTTGGCAGAACCGTGGGACGCGATTTCGGCATCTCTGAGGTCTTGGAACTGCAAGAAGGGCTAACGATTCTGCGAGAAAAACTCATTTTGGACAAGTCGGTCAAGAAGAAACCCCCTGGATGGTTCAAGCGTCGTCCTGGCCCAAATCGCACTGGTGATCGCATGGGCAAGCGTAAAACCATGTCTCCGGAATGCATCTTGACATAATATCATCTTGACCTGCCAATTTGAAAAGTTAAGATTGGCAAAGTTGAGACATTTCAAGTTGACAATGAAGCCTTGAGTGCTTTGGCTATTGTTCGAGGGTGAGACTAGAACTGATCAAGTTCTTTGACAAAGCAGTCCCCTTTGAGTAGATAACTAGGAACCAGCCACCTCGTGGGACTGCAATAGGACACACACATATGGACTGCGCTCAAAAAGCCCTACTCTAAACATATAGATAAGCGTAAACTTTTAAGGTTGGAGATGTGTTTTGAAGTCTTCGTTTAGAAGCGGGCCCCCGGTGATACAGCAAGGCAGCGCTAGATTGGCGCTAGGTTGGCGCTAGATTTCTTCATAACAGGATAAGCAAGCAGGAAAAAGAAACGAGCAGAGAGCAGGAAAAAGAAGAAGCAAGACTAAGACAAGAACAATAAAAAAGAAGAAGAAGAAGAATGCACAACAAGAAGAAGAAGAAGACAAGCAAGCAGGACAAATAAGAATCTGACAGGATATAGAAATCGACGGAGATTTTTGCGCGCTAGGCTGGCGCTAGATCCGCGCTAGCACCGCGCTAGACGACGGTCCATTTCTTGACCAGTTGCCCATCCAACATCCAAATCTTTTGAGTCAGCTCTTACATCCTTCCTACATCGTCCTGAAGATTTCTTGAGAACAAAGTGGGAAAGTCCAGCAGCAGCAGTAGCAGCAACAACAGCTCCAGCAGCTCAACAGGCCCCTGAAAAGGTCCGCGCTAGACACCTCTCACAGTTTTTGCAGTTGACACGCCTTCATGTTTAACGTCCCTGTGGTTTGAGTGTGCTTGGAGTTTAAAGGAGACTTAGAAGCGGGCCCCCATGGAATTGCGATGAGTGCACCACTTTGGGAAAAGACATTTTGGAAACAAACCGTATATTAATATATATATATATAGTCACACACACACTTATATATATATATACTAGTTACCTCAATTATAGAAGAAATTGAGGGTATATATCTTCTATTTGAAATGCATTTGGGAGGGTGCCATCCGTACCATTCAAATAGAAGATCCCATTAATTATTTGATCAAAATGATCATGGTCTTTTGAGCTACTTTTGCGTTTTGGACTTTCTGCTCAAAAATATTTATCTTCTATTTGAATGGGCACCCCCAACTCTGCATCTTCTATTTGAATTAATTCCCGAATATCTTCTATCTTTGAGGTAAACAGTATATATATATATGTATACGCAGTTTGGAGAATTCTGCCTAAAACGGAAGAGAACATGTTCAGCAGCTTCAATTCAAGCTAGCTTTGGAAGCACTTCGGCATTCCTGTTTGAGGCGCTCAGTTCTACACGTCCCTTCTTCCAGTGACTCGGTGGTTCTTCCAGCCGACGCTGAGTGAACAGAAGCACACCAAGCTATCCAAGCCCAAAGAACATTGCCATACCATACCCAAACACACTCAGTAAAAATTTCATATTGTTGGGGTGCTTTCAGATGGTTGAAAAGAGGTCAACCTAGGCATGTACTCCAGTCTCATTCGCGCCTGGGTTGTCTTCAGCCATCATATGCCATAATCACCCGTATCCTCAGCGCTGTTTGACACACTTTGAGGTTTCCATCACTCATCCGCGGTCAGCCAGCCATCATGCTTTAATTATGATTGATGATATTTGATCTGTTTTGCTTGTTTTTCGAGGCCTTTGAGTGTTTGTATCCCTACACGTTTCTCTCAATGAACATGGCAGTAAGGTGACGGATGGCAGAAATACTACTTGCCGGCGCTTTCACTTCGTGCATGTGGGCAAGAATGGCGGCACCGCGCTCGAAAGCTGGCTGACTGAAAACCACTTGGAATGTCTCATTGCCCCGATCTCCTTCGGACACGTAGATATGGAAGTGGTGCCCCATTTGCACATCGAACACGGGTTTCGTGGAGTCGTTTGATAGGGGGAACCAGGCCATCGGCGCGCCAAGGCGTTTCCCAAACGCATGCGCGGGACCTGCTACTTGACCTTCGTGCGAGATCCAGTGGCATCTTGGTGAAGTTGGGTCGGGAGTCAACTCTGGAGGAAGCCTGAGTCTGAGGGGCCAAGGATCACCTTGCGTAGGTTGTCTTTGCTTATCCCAACATGAGGAATAGAAGGGGATTCTATACTGGCTGCTTTTCTAGAATCTAGAATGGTCTAGGGTTGGATGGACAATCGGGAAAAACATGGGCCCTCCCGTCGTAAATTATTCCAGGGTAGGGGTCACCCACAGGAATAATTTTTCAGAATCAATTTTTAGGAATATTAAAACCACCATGTTGAAGTTGAGGTGGGTGGATGGTACCCTGGAATAATATGGTCGGGATAGACTTTCAAGGCGTGATAAAGGAATGATGTCACGACTTCAAAAAGCCACATCACATGCTTGCATTTGCAGCTGGCTCAAAATCCAAAAACGATCACAATCATGGGGGAGCAGGAAAGGTGTCACAAGGATCCTTGTGACGCCTTTCGTTCTTAAACCTTCAACCTCTCTTGCCAGAAAAGAGAGCTGTCAGATGTGTGGAACTGTGAAAAACGTCCATTGCGTAGGGGTGATCACATCAAAGCCGCCCTAGACTTAAATCTGCTGTCTAGAAGCCTGTGACTTGCAGGACGGCGAGTTCACGCCAGAAGGAAGCCAGACCCAGAAACCAAACTTGGGAACTGTCAGATCAGGGCTCCTAGGTCATACGCGCCCCAGCCACATCTTTCTTGTGGAATCTGAAGCTGTGAGATGT